GTATAAATTATAATATATAGGAAGGCAAGAATTTTTTTTCCTTTAAATATATTTTTATACAATTGTAGTTTCAATGACGTGTTTCATGCTATAGCATTGCAATGAAAAATAACTAAGATATCACTCTGTCACGACCCAAACCCGTCCCTATAGGTTTAGCGTCGTAACCGGCCAGTAATTCTCGGATTACCAAAGGCCTCTTAGCAGATTAGCAAGTATTAAGGGGCTGCGGAAGCAACTAGACAAAATAAACAAAGTCCAATGAGCTGTGATGACGTACATGGGACAGAGTAAGTCAAATTTATTTATGATCATAAGCATGCTAGTCAAGGGACACCAATATTTATAATATTATTTACAGACTGTAGTTCCTAGGTCCTGACTTTACAAACAGACGGAGGCTAGCATAACTACAAAAACAGCCATGGCAATTGACTTCAACTGGAACCTCCTCGGGAGGCGCAACGGTTGGCTGACAAAACTGGGGTGCAGGTCATCAACCCCGGGCAAGGTCTCGTACTTGCTCACCTACATACATAATATAAGGAGTGAGCTAAAGCTCGGTGAATAATAACAGCGTAAAGGGGTTTAATGAATGATGACCATATTGAATGCAGAAATCAGAAAATCAATCTCTTATCAGATCGGAAACGTAGGCATATTCATATTAATATTCGTATCAGAAAAGAACTACAGCCATATCCATATTCAAATCATGTGTGGTACACCTCCCATAGCATAACATATCGTGTTGGTCAAGCATAGTAAGTCCCATAATGGAACCTCTGGTACCAGGTAACATATCTATGCCATGGTATTGTTTCCCCCGGGCGAGGGCCTATGCCACGGTATTCTTTCCCCCGGGCAAGGGCCTGTGCCACGGTATTCTTTTCCCCGGGCGAGGGCCTCATGACCATGTGCCTCAGTATTGTGTCCCTTGGTCGAGGGCCTCGGCTAGGGATACCGCGTTTACGTTCCAAGGAAAATTGGACTATCATTCATTCATTCAAACATAGCATTTCAGAACTTATCATCTCATGTCATTGGAAAATAATTAAAGTTAAACATAACTTTACAGATATTACTCACAACAATTGGTCGGCTCACTAGATGGTCAAATGGCTCTTCATTTGTCCTGAGGTGCGTGACCTACACGAACACACATACAATTACCCGCTTGAAACACACGCTCGAGTTAGACGTAATGCACTTCGTTATTCTTAGTGTGTGCTTAACTATTAACCTCATTATAGAGTCTTAAACATGGCCTAGGAATGCCTAGGATGGAATAAGGATGCAAAAATGCCTTAGAAAATATTTTTCAAAATTTTCAGAAAACCAAGGTCCCGCTCGAGGGTGGAATTCCCCGCTCAAGCTGACATGCAACCAAAGGTCCCCACTCGAGCGTAAACTTTCTCGCTCGAGCGGTCTGCAAAACATGACAAAAGTACTAGATGGGTGAAAATCACGCTCGACGGGCGCTCGACCCACGCTCGACCGTGTGACTCAGGTCCCGCTCGAGCGTGAATTACCCCGCTCGAGCGGACTGTAAAACAGTGCAAAGTACTGGATGGTCGGATTCCACGCTCGAGCTCCACTTTCCCTGCTCGAGCGTGAGTCCAAATTCTAGAAATTTCATATTGGACCTTCAAGCTCAAAACCAAGTTTTAATGCATCAAATTCGATCCTCTTGGGCTAATTTTCTGGAAAACCCTTTCAAACTCATAGAATAACATGTTTTGAAGATCAATTTGAGAAATCAAAGCCCAAAGGTAGTTCAATTAAATATAATTTCGACAATACTTTAAAGAACACGATGTGTATGAAACATGCAAGTGTTTATTTGAAATCCAATGCTCCACAATGTGTCCAAATGCAAGATTAAACTCCAATTCATGATGAACTCATGGACTATAACTTGAATATGGCCTTGCATGCAAAGAATTCTCATGAAAACACTTCCAAATGTTATGTTATGAACATGCATGCATGAATCTCTACCCAAATCAACATTATAAACCAATTTCTAGCTCCAATCACCAATCTATCATGGACCAAGTATGAAGTGACTTAA